CTGTTTAGTGCACTTCTCTTGTCTTTCTTGGCCCTACTTAGGATGCTATATGCGTGTAGGAGTTACTAACCTGATAAGGCTTCTTAGATTGCACTTATGTGTGTTTCAGTATACATTTCGATGGAAAACTGACTGATAATTTAAGATCATATTTCTTGCATAAATTAGTGTATCAATTGTTTCCAAGAAGCATCACTTTTAGGAAGATTTTCAGTAAGAAGATTGTTTATCATATGCTCATATCTAGTCAGAGCGGATACATGTTATGGTTAGTATCATCTGTTGATGTGGTAATCTTACTATCTTTCCAGTAACTGATCAAAATCCTCAGCTTCCATGGTGAAGAGAAGTGGTAATTAATTACTTCAATACTCCTAGTGGTTCAGGTGTGCCAGTTTGGATGGGGATGCTGATCGGCTAGTCTATTTCTCAGTTCTGTCGAAGAAGAACAACAACATTGAACTCGTTGATGGGGATAAGATATTGTCTTTGTTTGCTTTATTTATCAAGGAGCAACTAAGTATTTTGAACGAGGGTGAAGGAAAGAAAGGAAATGACTCTTATCAAGCACGTCTAGGTGTTGTGCAGACAGCTTATGCGAATGGCGCATCAACTGATTACCTGAACGAGATGGGTCTAGAAGTTGTGCTTACCCCAACAGGAGTCAAATACTTGCATGAAAAAGCTGCTGAATTCGATATTGGCATATATTTTGAGGCGAATGGGCATGGAACTATCTTGTTTTCAGAAGCTTTCCTATGCTGGCTGGAGACTAGTCACAAGACGCTTTTATCAACGTCAGAAGGTCTAACCCAATCTCCTCCTCTGTTGCTGTTGTGGCCATTGACCGTCTATTTTTTACCACTTATTTTATCTATCTGTTACTTATTTTAGGTTCAGCGAAACAAAAGGCTGCTTCAAGACTTTTGGCTGTCAGTCAGTTGATTAATCAGGCAGTGGGAGATGCGTTAAGTGGGCTGCTTCTGGTGGAGGTTATCCTGAAATACATGGGATGGTCCATACATAGATGGAATGAGCTTTATCATGATCTACCCAGCAGACAACTAAAGGTCAGACTCTTGCACTTTGAGTTTCGTCACATGGTCTGCATAGTTTTTTAGAGATATGCAACTAATAACTGCTTTAACTCCGAATCCATTGAATAGAGACTTCAGTTTTGCTGTTTAATTCAGTTGATTAATCAGGCTGTGGGAGGATGCTTTAGTAGACTGCTTCAAGTCAGTGCCTTATCTCCACACTCGGGCTAAATTAAAAACTGAGAGAAGGATAGTAAACAAAGAAGGAGAAGAAAACAGAACTTATCAGTCATACAACAAAAAGGTAGAAGAAAACAAAGAGAGAAATTCAGCTTATGCAGTAGCTCAAGTGAGTTACATCACATTCAGAATTAAATAATCAAAATAGACCCAGGTTCAGGGAAGCTCTGAGAAGCTAGTGATGTACTCTCACTATAAGTGGATGACTGCAATAAAGAAATCTAAACTTCAACTTTCTAGTTTGCTGCTAATGCAACTAGTTAACCTCTTCCCAAAAGGAAGAATCAACTTTACTTTTAAATGCACGTGTAAGTTCTCCAAGATTTTCTTTTCGGTGTGTTTTATCCATCATTTTGGAGTTGAATGTGATCTTGAATAAGTCTCTTTGTAGTTCATCTCATTTCAAAGAAATTACACTTTTAAGATAAGTGCTTCAATTCCAAGATCCTCCTATTTTCAGGTAAAGGTCGTTGACAGAACTGCAGTTCTCACAGCAAATGCGGAGACAGTGGCTGTTCAGCCTATTGGTATTCAAGAAGCCATAAATGCTGAAATAGGTAATTCCATCAACTTGCACACCATGTTCAGTAGTTAGTGCCAATCAAGCTTCGATTTTGTTCTCTTTGGTGAACTTAGTAGGTCGTCTGATTTTGGTAGCTGAAATCACCGGTCCATTGAATGCTCTCTCTCTCTCTCTCTCTCTCTCTCTCTCTCTCTCTCTCTCTCTCTCTCTCTCTCTCTCTCTCTCTCGTGGTTGTAGCCGGGATGATTATCTTCTATGGTTTCCTCATGCACAAAAGTCATGTTTGCAGCCTCCATAACCATGTAAAACTTAAATAATCAGCCTTTGAAAGTTAAAATGAACCGAGTATTTGTTGCAAGTGGCTTATCCTGATCAACCATATCAATTTGTGCAAATTTATGTCATTGAATGATCCCTAATTAGCTACTAAAACTGTATTTCTTATTTTATCCAGCAAAGTACCCCCGAGGCAGATGTTTTATTAGACCATCTGGGACAGAGGACGTTATAAGAGTATATGCTGAAGCAACCAGCCAGGATGCTGCAGATGCACTAGCCTCTTCAGTGGCGAAACTTGTAGATCAGTATCTCGGTTTTGGCAGTTCTTGATTAACTTACTAACGAAGTAGTAGTCAAAATTTGAGACTTTTAACTACTTTTTAGCAGATTTAATACTGAATATTGTGACAACAAATCATTGCCTTCTGTTTATTTTGGCTATAAGGAGAGGCGAACTTCTTTAGCTCTTTGTTTGGACGTTTTGGATCATTCCTTGAGTCCTTTCTTTGTAGAATTGTCGGAAAAACTTGGGGAACAACGTTTATTTTTTTTTGCTGAAGAGACATTGGAAACATTGAAGCTAATAATTATGTGCCTCAGCATATGCCACAACTGCTTTTGATAATACTATTTGTTTCCATTTATGTGACTTGCTCAAACCAAGTATATACATTTTCCATTTTTGTGACTTGCTCAAACCACACAATCTGGACTGATAAAAACCATTATAAGCCGATAATATATTAACCACAGTTAGTGATAAAGGAGCATATGATAGAAACATGTCATGTGTTCGTTAGTTTGGTATAAACGTCCAATGTCGGTAGATTCTGTGTTACAATGCACCCAATGTTTGGTTGGCAGTTGGGTTATCTTTTTATTTCCTAACATCACCTTTAGTTTTGAATTCCTCCCAAACGACAACTTTTTCACTTGAGGATCTTGTCTGGTGGAATGACAATCCTGTATTATGAACAATGGCCATAAACATTTTTTTTTTGTTTTTGAGAAAGGTAACAGATTAGCCATAAACATATACTAGTATTTACAACAATGATATAACCAAAAGATAATCTCATAGTAATCCAGATCAGAAAGAGAATCACTCCCTCCCTAAACCCTTGTCGCGAATATAAAACTTTTTATTATTTAAATTTTACGAGTGACATCATTAGTGAGGTATCTATATGAATTTGGTTCTATTATCTAAGATCAACAATATCTTAGGAGAGACTAAATTATTTATAAAAGAAACTATTAACAACTGATGTTAGGCCAAAATTCTATACTTTTAGCACATTACTCGCCCTATATTTTGTTGGTTTAAGTGAGTTATTGTGCGACAATTGCGCTAAATTGTGTTGTTCTATGTGTAGAAACATCGGAATGAATCATCGATGTTATGATAAATTTTTTTTTACTTCTAAAAGGCCCCAAATTAAAAATTGGCTTTAGGCCACCAATCTTCTTGGCCGCCCCTGTCCAGATGGCATCTAATAATAATGAGTTGAAATCTATCTTTCAAATATCTCCAGCACTAAAGGAGCCATATCAACAGGATTAGCACAACTCCTTCGGGGCTTACCTTTTCAGCCTCTGTAATGCAACTTTACCTATTACTTATTTGAACAAAAGTTTGAAAACATCCATATACAGTGATGCTTCTCCCATAGGGATAGCAGCAGCAAAATACTCCTCCCAATTAAGAGAAGACAATAAAAACTTTCTTCCCCTTCTTTCTATTTCTCTAACACAGTAGAGAAGATTCATGACCATGCATTGCATTAAAATATACTCTGCTTTTGATTAATGTTCACATATTACTAAATAACAATTTGTACACACATCATTCTGAAATCAAAATTGTATCAAGCATGCAAACACAGGAAATCAAGGAGTTATAGCTAGTTATTCGCCAGACTCAAAACTCTGACAGTACAAAGAACCACTTGGGAAACCATGGAAACCAAGGAAAGCCCCCATTGTGTTGCAAAACACATTATCAGAGTATATATGGTAGAATCATTATCATGTCCTACAAAAGAAAATTTGCAAAACACTCTGAATCTTTTTTTTTTTTTTTTAATAAGGAAAAAACACTCTGAATCTTGTCACAAGAAAAAGCATCTTTAGATAAGCCTTTACAAACTATAAGCACAGCCAACTCAGAAAAGGGCTTACTACGAAAACTCAAATGGCCCAGATAAATTGTGAATATCGTTCAAGAAATCGTAAGCTTATAAGAATATTTCAACATACAGCACATCTGCACTTGGCTGCACCAAATTTCTTCAGTCTAACGCCAGCAGAAACTCTGCCATACTTCTTGAAACAAGACAGACAGGAAAGAAGCAAAAAAGAGCCACGTGAATACATTGCCTTTTGGTCTCAGATAGCTCTTTTTTTGATTGCTCTTATCGTCCATTCAAATGCTCTTATAAGATAACAATCCTGTTCAAAAGTAGTAGCATTTGTCTTCTGCGTTCAGCCCACTATCAAGTAATTGGGATAGACTGTATAAATCATCTTAGTAAGAAATTTCTTTTTATTTTTTCATGAGGTCTCAGGTTCATATCTGAACGGAGGCAAAACCAAAAAACACTAGGTGACTTGTTCACCTCTGCCTAAGCATTGGGGGCAGATTTACTCTGTAATTATGAGAGGTAGCGGGTACCAGGTGAATAGTCACAAGATGGCCTGGACACCATGTCATTGAAAATATTAGACCATTTTAGTTAGAACATCTATCAACTATGCATCAATCCCGAATTAATAGGGTTGGCTGTATAAATCATCTGTATCCATTCTGCGTTATTCGAGCTCAATCTATTCTAATATTAAATAAAATGGCGTTTCCTAAAACTAAAAGTTCTACACAACAGATAAATTCAAAAATCAAAATCATTAACCAAACACACATAGAAACAGAACACCAACATAAAATGCACTGAAAATCTACAATCTTAACATGAATTTAGCAACTAAATTAGAGTTTTTCATTAACCATGCTCAGTAAATTACACAAAAACAAGAAAAAAGCCCTTTTTTCAATGTCCTCAAGTGAAAAAAACAACAAGTCTTCCTCACAAGTTCCATACAAGCTCTTTCTTACCCCAATTCAGAAAACCACGCGAAATTGTGGTGCGTTAGACCCAGTCGCCGGTAAAATCTCCCAACGGCAGGGCTCAAGCTCATCAGAAACAGGACAATATCCAGCAAGTGTAACCTTATCAACAGAAGCAGCCACTGACCCGAACTCGAAAACAGTTATATCCGCCGGCGGTAGATTTGGCCGGGAAACCTCAACGGCTCCGTTCATGCCCGGAACCTCCGGCTTGCCGGATGAGATTTGGGGTTTCGGGTCGGGTTTCTGGGTGGTTTTAGGAGTTTCCTTTTTGTCGCCCTTCCACCATGATAGAATCCCCATGGCTATTCGCTACAAAAGGGTTTTACTGCACTTCGTTATGCGGATAATCGGATTTCTTCGATATTTATAATGTGACCCCCGGTTTTTTTATTGAGTGCTTTTGACAATATCCATTTTTGCACCAAATCACGAATTTTAATTATTATAAAGGCTATAAAAAATAAGAATACACATTATAAATAACTTAAGTGATAAAAATTGGCGGAATACCTAAAAATCTCCCTAAACTTGACACGGATTATTAGTTACACCTCTAAACTATTCGTGGTCTTAATTACCCCATGAACTTGGCCTTTTGAGAGCTATTACCTCCCTGAACGCTGATGTGACAAAGAGTGTGGGTGTACTCTCTTTTAAGCGTGTGAGAGTGAAGAAAAAATAAAAAATCAGCTTACAAGTAGATTATTTTTTAACTTTTAATTGCATATAGTCATATATAATGATTTATTTGTTACAACTATGTATTTCTTCTTGCTTCATCTTGACATATAATGTGGACTTTACTCTAACTTTTATTCCTTTTAATTTCTTCTATAGATATAATGTCTATTTGTTCTAACTGCATATTTATTTATTTATTTATTTTTGGGAGGGGGGTGTAATTTGTAAAAGTTTGTTTGGAACTCACATTTTAGCCAAATAGAAAACTTTTAGCAAAAATAATGGAGTACTAGTTGTGTATTTTCTTTTATTTATTTTTTAGATATAATAACTATTTATTTTAATTGTGTATTTTTATTTTCGAGTCAAATCAGTAAAAAAAATAGCTACAACTCCATTATTTTTTACCAAATAAAAAAGTATAGCCAAAATAATGAACTTGCAATCGTACATTCTTTATATTTCTTCTCTTGATGCAATGGCTATTTATTTTAACTATGTATTTTTACTTTTTTCAGTAATATCCGTAAAAAAAATAAATATTTTTAGAGCTCCATAATTTAGAGCTATATAAAAAATTACAATCAAAATAATAAAAATCAAACTATGTATTTTTATATCTTTTTAGAAGCCTTGACTATTTGATTCAATTGTATAAATCTTTATGTTCAGGTCTAATTCAAAAATAATAACTAAAACTTTATTATTTTTAGCCAAATAAAAAAAATAGCCTAAATAATGTAGTTCTAACCAAGTTTCATTATAAATATTATTAGAAAAAGATTATCTAAAAAAGTAACACGCTTAAAAATGTATAAAATATATTTTATTTTTAAAAAAATGCCACATGGACAGGAAAATCCAAGTGGAAGGCGAGTGCATGCCACTTTCTTAGGATGAGATCGTCCAAGGGGGTAATAGCTATCGAATAACCAAGTATATGGGGGTAATTAAGACCACAGATAGTTTAAGGATGTAATCAATAATACATGCCAAGTTTAGGGGGATTTTAAAGTATTTTGCCATAAAAATTTATAAGCAAGACACATTTTTTATAACTATTGAGTTGATACAAACATTGGAGGCTCGCTTCAGGGGTTTTGTGTGATAAGAAGGTGCGTGCCACCAAGACACAAAGGTAAGTTTTATAGAGTAGTGGTTAGACCGATTATGTTGTATGGGGCAGAGTGTTGGCCGGTCAAAAAATACCTATATATAGCAGATGAAAGTAGCAGAAATGAGGATGCTGAGATGGATGTGTAGTCATATCAAGGAAGATAATATTAGGATTGAAATTATTTGCGATAAGGTGGGAGTGGCCATCGTGGAGGATAAGATGCGGGAACTAGAGTGAGATTGTACGGGCATGTGAAGATGAGGCGTATAGAGCCCCCGGTGAGGAGGTGTGAGAGGTTAGCCATAGTGAGGCTAAGGAGAGGTAGACCTATTAAGTATTGGGGAGAGGTAATTAGGCATGACATGTCGCAACTTCAACTTACTGAGGACATGACCCTTGATAGGAGGGTGTGTAGGTTGAAAATTAAGGTAGAAGGTTAATAGATAGGCTGTAAGTGTCTCATTTTAATATCGGTAGGATTGGTATTAATCTCTTATTTTCATACCTTCTTATCCATAGGTTTCTTTTACTATATGTTGATCCTTTCGCTTCGATTATTTCATCATTCTGTCATCTTATCACCTTATCTTGTTGATGTTACTAAGTGTTGTGTCTGCTTCTTTTATTTTTACTTTTACCTTGAACCGGGGGTCTATTGGAAATAACCTCTTTATTTTCACAAGGTAGGGGTAAGGTCTGCGTACATTCTACCCCTCCCAGACTTCATTTTGTGAGATTATACTGGATTTGTTGTTGTTGTTGAGTTGATACAAATGTGAACAAGTGTTTTTTTGATAGCATGGTTTGACAATTCAATAAATATAAATAGAGTGGTCGTGAATTCTTTTATTAATATCCTTCATTTTGTGATTAATAGCTGTTGGGAAAAATTATGAAAAAACTAGTAAGAAATGTCGTTGGAGGTGTCTTCATGACATTTATTGATAATTTCCTACAAACTTGACATGATTCCAAAGTGGCCTTCTCGCGAATTTAGACCACTCCGCTTTCTCCTTTGGTGAAGCCCTTTTGTGGCTTAAGGGTTTAAATATTAATGAAATGATGATTGAATTCGATTGTCAAAAGATTCTCACTGCTCTTAATTTAATACCACCTATTTGTCTGAATTTGGTATTGTTATTGGGATTATTTTTCTTTAAAAAATCAATTCCATGACTTTGTCCTTCCATATTTAATTACTTAGTATTCAACTGCTATATTTTTTTATATTACCTTTACTGAATTTAATTATAGTTTAACACTTCTATAGAATAGTCAAAGTCAACTTAATATTTAATTAGCCTAATATTTTTCAAACTCCTCGGCCCTGGAACATATAAACTAACCCTCCTTTCCTCCATAATAGAGAAACAAACCCTTCTGCCTCCCTTCAACCTAAACTTTCTTTTTCAGTTCTCTGAATCTCTTTCAAATTTGATAGTCTGATTAGGCGACGGCGACTGAATTTAAGACTCTCCTTCAAATATTGATGTTTGTATTTTAATGCTAAATTATCATAGTCATTAAGTATTCAAAGAGTTGCACCCGGAACTTTAAAGCTGGAAATTGGCATACTAAAGACAGTGGTGCCCCCGTTGCAACATTGACATTACATTGTTTCAAGAGGAAGTGATGACGGAGTTTGCTACAATTTTGAGGGATGATCAAGGCTAGTTTATTAAAGGTCTTCAAGTCATTTGTCTGGGTTTTTGCATGCTCATAATACTGAAGCTTTTCGTGGCTTAAGGGCTTAAATATTAATAAGGTGATAGTTAAATTCGATTATCAAAAGGTTTTTACTGCTCTTAATTCAATATTACTTATTTGTTTGAATTTGGTAGTTTTATTGGGATTATTTTTCTTTAATAAATCAATATCATGCCTTGTCCTTCCATTGGACTAGCTAGGATGCTAATAAGGCAGCTTACTTTCTTGTTCGAATAGCTTGTCTAGCTTCTGGTCTTTGTTTTGATGCTTCTCATCTATTTGACTACACTATTGAATGAACATTTGTTGCACTCAAAAAAGAAGAAGAAAATCAGACTTGAGCAAAATAAAAAAAATCTGTTCGATCGAGTTTGTTTAAACATAACGCGATGCAGCTCCAAGCTGGTACACCTACGCTGCCAACAAACCAGAAGATAAAATGCCTGCATTCATATTCCTATTCTTTCTTTCTTGTTCTTTCCCTTTGTAAAGGAAAACATGACTCCTTTTCCTTATATTGAACCCTGAAGTTTTTATCCTTACTTTATGTTTATTTCGTTGCTACAACATTACCTCCAATTATTGCCCCAGGACTTTGGTTAAGCGCATGTCAGGCGTTCCAATCCCACCGCATACAAAAGTCTGATATTTAAGTGGAGAATAGTAAAAGGACAAGTTTATTATCCATGGGTTTCGAACCGTGAGTCACCGCCCATCGGTGATTTCTCGATTGTCAAAATATAAAACGATATTACCTCAAACTCCAGATAGATGCATGCAATGGAAGGTTTAGAGGATGTTCTATTCCTTTAAATAGACCCCCTCTTTCACTAGAATAAATAAGCACATTAATCTACTTCACCTCTTTCAAAATCAGCAAACGACTATATTATCCATTTATTTAAACAACTACTCAACATGTAAAAGAAGCAAAGTTGGAGCATAATCGGAAAGTTAAATCACATTTACTTTTCTGCAACAAGCTGACTATACACTAGTTGTAATAGATCCGCAAGGGAGAAGAAGGCTAAGCTGCCCCTCTGTTGTCTCCCACACCAAGGCAAAAAGAGATTCATCAGTCGGCTTGGGAACCGGAATCTAAGAATAAGGCAGGTAGACCCATACTCAGGCAAGAAAGAAAGTCTCTTATAGAAAAGGCTTGAAGAAGAGGCCCTCGCTCTACTGGAAACCTAATAGAATGGGCTACTTCTTAAGGTGGAATGGACCACTTATCATAGAAGAATCTTTCTTACATCGATTGCTGACTATACAGACAAGGCAAGTCAAAGCAAAGCCGATGCACCTGATACGACTAAAAAAGAGAGCAATGGTCCGAAACCCCAAGCAATTGACTAGGAGAGGATCATCGGGAATGGACTAAGGGCCTACCAACCCTTTCTTAATCTAAGACATCTACCCCTGGCAGAAAAGAAGACGGAAAGAAAGCCGATTGATACCTTAGCTTTGAACCAGCTTCTTCAATCCTGCTGCTCTTCTCCCTCTATATAGCGCGGGTAGCTTGCTTCCAAGCCACTGGTCGGAACCAGATAAGGAACAAGAGAGAGAAGCAGCTCAATTTCAAAGGTTAGGAGCGATAGCCACTCGTGCAGAAGGAGATGTTTGGGAGAAAAGCCCCGTCTCATGGTGCTTTTGTTAGGAGTTCCCCTCTCCGGTATATTTTACTGTGGCAACCCTGATGGAATACCATACCATGTAATGTTTGCACAAGTAACGTATTCTAGCAATTACCAAGAAAATCACCTAAAAGAGTGAAATTGTAACCTTTAACAGTTTGATACGTCAAAGCATTTTGATTCCAAGCATCACACAGTACCAAGATCA